TAAATCGTCTTCTTTTTCTAATAATTCAAGGAAACGTCTAAGCTTCCGCGCGGGAGGACTTACATCAACACCGACATCCCCTAATGAGCGCGCTTCGCTCTTTAAGTGATTCGCTTGCTCACTACCGCCCCTCCCTAAAATAAGATTCTAGCTCCGCGCCTGCATTAAAATATATAGCTATGATGTTGACTAAGTTGACGAAATAATTCGTATATTTATGTCGACGAGGAAAATGATCATTTGCGCATACGCAAGTACTATAGATAGTATACATAGGAAAAACAATTTAACCTTCGGCCCCGGGTTTATAGGGTTACATTAAATATTGGGACATGTAATTTTGTCGGTAATTGGTGACTAGTTTTGTCGGTAATCGTTGGCCTCTACATCCCCCCCCCCCCCCCCCCCCACTGAAAAAGGTCAAACGACGCCCCTGCATATAGCTTTAACCCAGACTCCATGCCCTTCTGAACAGACGATTTGTATGTATGCCTAAGGTATTAAATGAATTGTCATTTCTTTAGTAGTCCTTAAAATTAGACATGGGAGATTGGGAGAGAGAGATGATCATGGCGCGTGGGAGGAGGGGTGGGAGGGGGTGGAGGACACCGATCAATAATTTGCCCCTATCATTCCCGGTACACATGAAGGCTACCGACGTTTCTCTTCTTATAGTGGAGGAATGTGTTTTTATACGCAATGATCGAGTTGGTTTGATTGCTGTATATCTACATCTCATCATTTTGTATTGTATATTCCTTGTATGGGCCGGCCTAGCTGTTCAGTGCGTCTTCGATCATCATTATTTGTATTATTGATTATATCTCTTGATCTCTGTTATCTTTTTCTCATCTTTTCTCCACCAACGCAATGATGCATGTCGATATGATATTGATTATATACATGTATTTATCTCAAGAATACGTAGGTGAGAGAGGAAGATCGAGATGAAGTGGGGGGGGGGGGGCAGATAATCGAGTGGTGAGTGACGTAAGCAAAGGATAGTTAAAAATGGGAACGGCCAGATGGTAGATAGATCTGGAGAAGATCTAGAATACATGTAAAGATATAATTTACAAGAGTTATACGAAGAAGAGATTAATATATATTCAGAGGAGGATCTAAAAATTACAGACTTTCCAATCAAAAGCTACAAAAATCTGCTGAGATTGAGCCAGAAGGGTGTTAACTTCCATTCCCATAACCCATGGTTAGCGCCCTTCTGGCCCTGGCCCTGAACAGGCAAATTCATATCTCGGTATTGTGTGATGTTTTTTTGCCATCCCCAAATTTTGTAAGCTTAAAAAAGTGCGATAGCATGTATGATCATAGCTATTGTGAACGAATGTTACACTTGGGTTGCAGATAATACGATACTCTTCGCCGTGCATGGAGTTCAAAGGTCATGTTAGATATAGCTTGCAGATAACCGATACCATGTTCAATGTCAGAAAAATGCAATGGAGAAGTGTGGCTATTACGGCTATTCAACAGGTGCGCGCGAGATAGCTAACGCTCATGTAAAGTGGTCGTTTCGTAAGGATAGGATGGGTGCATGCAATGGGCGATGGTAGTGGGATTGCAGGTAAAGCAAAACAAAAAAACAAAACAATCTTGAAGAGACTCCTCCATTCCTTTCCTCCTCTTTTCAGAACCCTTGTCAATTAGTTTGATAACATGAAAAGTGAGGACCGTTATGAACTGTTCATGGTGCTGGAACTTGTGAAAGTTGAAGTCATGTTAGTAGAGTTTAGCAGCATCAGTATTAGGAATATTTGTATGCGGTAGGCCTACTGGTAAGACTTTTTGCACTTTTCTCACACTCACATAATATTCACTCCTGAAATTCTGCAAGAAACACATGAAACAAAAAATAAGCACACGAGACGCAATGAGTTCAGTTTCCTTTCTATAAGCTATGTGTAAAATTAGTTTATTTCTAAACATGATCTTCTAGAGTTAGAAAACACAGGCAAAAAAAATAATTAAAATAAAATTTAAAAAAAGGAAAAGGAAAAGAGATAGATCCTCACAAAAAACAGTTGTGGGGAATGGAAACACAAAACATGACATATATACATGGTCAGATGTTGTAGATAAATATGAGCAAAACATCTTGGTTGTAAAATTGCAGCAAGATTCACATATCTCCTTACATTTTCTTACAAAAAATAGGAAGAAAGAATTTGTTATATAAATGGAAAAAGGTGTGATGATTGTGTCTTCCAAGAAGTAGTTCCCATTTCACATTACGATGATTTATTTTTGTATTTTCAAAAGTATGGCAAATTTACAGATACCAATTCTATTTATAAATATAAGACAACCTTTCTTCAATATACAAAGTAAGTTATAAATTTTCAATTGTTCTCTAACATTTGCATCAACATATTAATTAACTTGCAATATTATAAACAAAAAAAAACATGAAAATGGACATTTCAGAATTGTCTTTGAATAAAATACCACTATTTACAAATACAGTTAGCATATAGCAGACATTACTCGATTCATTCTTTGAAAATAAATTACACAAGAAAAGAAATGAACACAGAGATTCATTTCTTTTCTCTTTTTATATATAGAAAATGAGGAAATTCTGAATTAATCACATCATCAAATTCACAAATGGATGCATACTCTGAACTGGAACAAAACTTCTTTGTCTATAAAAGAACTGCTCGGTGTTTTTGTCTCAAAATGGTAGACAAAATTATGGGAAACATTGCTCCAGCTCAAAGTTTGCTCCACAGGTGAATGGGACAATAATTTACGTAAATATAAGTAGAAAAGAAAATTATACAAAATATGCACAGCTCTCAAACCGAGTTACATATATCGTCATATAACTACAACAGCTATTTGCTACAGGTTGAATATGAAATGATAATGATGGAGAAACAAATGTTAAAAAAAAAATTGTCATGGCATCAAAAATAGCACTAGAAAATGTTTACTTAAATACACAAATAGAGGAGACGAGATGGGAGTTTGCATCGATTAATATACAACGAAATAGACTGCAAGTAAATGCTTCACTTAATTTTAGGGAGTGTGACCATATCAACTCAATTAAAAACATGATCAATGCTGTAAATGGCCCGGCAGAATCTTGTACAAAAACCACTTGTAAAATTTGGATTTTGAAGAATCACATTATCATCATGCCGGTCACGTTGAATTAAAAGAAAAACCTCTCATGATTATCGCATTGCCTGAAGAAATTATGGACTAATGACTTCACTTTACTTCGTACATCTGAAGTACATCTCCTTTGGCAGACACTAGCAATGTCCACACTGTTAAACAGCGCAATTTATTTTGCTACTGTCCCTGACATGATTGTTACTGTGTCCACACTTTCCAATAAGCACAGATCTTCCCAAAACCACACCGTATTCCACAAACCAGTGTTAACACACTACCCATCCAGTTACATCATGGTATATGCATCACAAGCAGTTAGTACCCACGTCTGCAGCAAAAGAGCGAGATTATTCTAGGAATGTTCAATTTGCATAACGGTATGCCCAAGTTGACAAACAGTCTTGCTCCAAATCTTTGCTCATATACTAGACAAGACTCTATGTGATAAGTGGACTAGTACCTATGTATTAATAGGCATGCTATGGAAATAGACAGAACTTTAATTGAGTCTTTAAAACCAGAATCTTTCACAATTTGTCAACGAATGATGTTGTTGCATAAAACTTCTGCAGAATGCAAGAATGTAATTCTGCGTTTCGATTACTTCAAGGAAAGCAGTTTTAGCAAATCTTAACTAAGTGAAAAATTCACAAAACCAGAGGATTTTTGCAAGTGAAAGTATCTGGTTTTACTGTACTCAAACTTTCCATCCATTACTAGTACCGAGCAAGTTCTTATTTTAGCCCTTAGACTCAATCAGGTACACACCTAGTTAGGGGCGAGAGACTTGGGCAGTCCCCTACTACATTATCGATCCCACTCCTGCCACCAAATTTGTCAAGGATACCAACCAAGGTGATCCAAAGCCAGAGCATCTATACTTGGCAGCTTGATGACTCTGTGCCAGGGATCTCTTAAACCCCACATCCCATTGGTCTTGCATTGCATTGGCTCCTTGTTCAGTTAACCAACCACCTACTGGAACTCGATGAATCAAGCAAGTATCGAGACTTGGGGATTAGGGATTGAGGAGATCAGGGGGTGTGTCACAAAGATTCAAAGCCAAACTTTACTCTAAGTTGGACTTAAATATTATAGAGAGCCATTTGTAGTCTTATTTTGAAATATAATCAAAAGCAAAAATTCAAGTATTTTAGACTTTTAATAAATTCCACATCAAGAACATGAAATCTCCCATGATAATAGAAAATATGAATGATTTGAATCAACATTTTATACCTTTTAAAATAATTTTTACAAAATATTTTCAAGGATGCTAATGGCTTCCCATGATTGTTAAGTCCAACTTAGAGATAAGTTTAACTCTGGATCTTTGTGAAACACCCCCCAGGAGTCCAAGTATTAAGGTTTCATTGGATCCTTTTGATGCAGATGGCCAAACTGATGTTGGGTTGCTGGGCCTCCACTTAGGACCCATGAAAGATTATCATAACTCAAAAGATTGTTTATCGCCCAATGTCTACCTTCAAGCAACATGAGATGTGATGCAAAGATCATTCAGTTACTAGTAACCCCTTCTGATATGGTCTCCAACATCTTCATAAAGATAGGTGGCAAGACAACAGCTATGGGTGATTAGTGTAGCCCCATACCTGATAGTGAATACCGGTAATAAAATTCCCATGCTCTGGACTCATAGCTTCATAAGCATATAGAATTTTCACTAATACATGTTTGAGATGATTTTCTTTTTTACTTTCAAGTATCATTTCCCCAGTTTTACTGTTTCCAAAACTAATTTAACAATGTCCAGATCACAACGTGCTCAAGGAGATTTAAAAGCCAAGCAATTTAAAGGAAGGAATCAATGATAAAATGAAAGTATACAAGTATTTAAAAAGTATTGCTTCGAATATTTAATACTGTATTATTACTAATATACTGATGCCATAATATCATTAATGGTCGTCTTTTGTCATTTTGGCTATGCTACTGTTTTGATTGCAGTCAGGTCCATTGCAAAGGTGGTGTCCCATCTAAGCCTTTTTACGTCGTGCTGGTAATTATCAACATCAAGAAAGGTGAGAATTGTCATATCATGGAACCTTTGATACTACTAAAAACATTCGCTTATAAGTATTACAAGCAAATGTACATAGGATAAACAAGTTTTCCACATTTTACATTTTTAATCTACATTTTCAAATTGACTGAATTGAACACATTAAGACAATGGACTGAATGCAAAATTACTGTACACAATGCATATCCAAGAACAGAACTGATAGCATTTTGGGCCATAAGTTTACAGAACTCATAGATTTTTTTACTTCTCCAAAATGCCTTGCAGAAAAAATACTTTGTGGAATTTTCAATTGAGATCCTCCCCACTGTAAACAATTTACAATGAAACCTATGTAGTGACCACCTATATATATAAAGACCACATGTTGTGTTTCTCTTGACAACTGTTTCTCCTAGAAACCTGTACATTGTGACCACCTGCCTATAGAGATCACTTCTCTTGTCACCTTGGAGTGGTGTTTATAGACAGGTTTCACTGTATATTTAGTTTCATAGGGGGAACTACTGGTCCTGATCAAATCTTTTGATAGTCTCAGTCCCTTTTGCTGATGCATGTCAAGCAAAGAGACTGAATCCCAAAACTAAGCCTTGGACATTTTTTTCATGATGCCAATTCTAAATATGACAAGAGGAAAAATGAGTTAGAAGAGAGAGAGAGAGAGAGAGAGAGAGAGAGAGAGAGAGAGAAAAGAGGGGGGGGGGGGAGTGGGGATGGCACACATGAAATTGTGCATTAGAAAAAAGCAAAGGCATTTAGAGAAAAAAAAAAGAGAAGAATTAACAGCATGAAGAACCCTGGCAGAAATCCTGGCAAATTGCCAAGCAAGTAGAGATCTTGGCAGACTACAGTATGCTGTTTGGTGGATCTGCATAATCTTCTATTTTTTTCGTTGTAGAACAGTGCACACAAAATGTAGCCCTTTGTCTGTCTCCAAGTGCATCAGGCAATGTATTGGCAAAGGCATGTAGGAACAACAGTTATAACTTGACTTTTGTAACAACAGGCCAATACTGGACAGCAGTGATTCCCGACAGCAAATAATCACTGTAAGCACAATGTGGAATCGATGCAATGATGACATTAAATATGACCTAGCACGTTGTACCATCTTGAAACATCATAGGATAAAGCACACTGTAATCCTACAATACAAAACTAAGTGACCGGAAGTGGTACTGCCATTTAATTGTCAAACCACTGTCTCCTTCTACCATACAGAAAATGCACTTGCAAATCATATTTCTAAACATCGTTATGAAGCAACTTGAGATGGGAGGCCTCACTACACCGTCAAATCATTTACATGAGACCAATCTACTCAATATAATGACCAGCCTTAAGTTTCGATTCAACAATACGACTATGTAGAATAGCAAAACCTGTAGATGTAGAGCTCATTTCAGTGTCTCTTGTTCCCTATACTGTCCTCTGTTGGTTTTACGCTCTTAAAGATTTATTCCCAACAAAGAAGGAAGCAAGCAAGCAAAAATGTAGGCCTGCTGACCGTGTAGTGTGGCCTCTCATCGTGTCTCTTTAGGTTGCTTCATAACGACGTTTCAAAATATGATCTTTCCAAGAATATCCAAAAATGTTATCTTATGGAAATTCATCTTAAGGAAGCTGCAATTTGATTACATCTTGATGTTATTTCTTTTTATTCTACCTGTTAGATCAAAAGCAGAAATCATCACCTCCTGAGAGCCAGAATGGCGGTAGCTCGTATACTTTCAAATAAGAGTTAATGCTCTCTGGCTCTCAACAGAAGGCATACCATTCCAAGGAGGTAATCCGAACACTGGAAGCTTTCAGTTTAATCTAGATGACCCGGTAATTGGGTAATACTTTAAAAATCGAAGGACATCACCTTGGTTTCAAACCTAGGACCTGCTAGTTTCAAGACCATTGCTCTTTCCACCGAGCCATCATCCCTCATCAGCCATCAACAACTGTTCTACTGGACAAATTTTCATATGAAAGGCTAATCCATTATTAAAATGAGCGTTGCTGGTTTTAAGAAGAGTAAACATTTCATTATCAGGTTTAAAATGTTGTATTTGATGATTATCATCATGAATGCAAAGATCGTCATTGAAAAATCATTGTCATTAAAACGGGCAAGGTTAAATATATTATTGTTGCAAAATAAAGCAGTGATAAAACAGAAAAAGTGAGATTTTGAAAAAATTGTTGAGTTGTTACAGGAGATAACATCCACTGACACCATCCTTCATTAGCATACAATGTAGTTCTTTGATAAAACATGCACAGGCCCAATGAACAGTATATCTCTACTATTTCCTTCAAAATCTGGATTCTGACAAGCAGAGTTCTTGCTGGTACATGACATACTTGTAGACCATGCATCAACATGCAAAAATGCTGTTGCCCGCTTGAATGTCTACATGCAAGTAACTCAATTTTTCTTGAAATTTCGAAAGGCTCTACTTCTCCTTACAGCCGACACATGACTTCCCCATGGATTGTATACAATTTGTGAATTAAAAAAAAAAGCTTTACACATATCAAAATAAAAAAGAAGAAATACCAACCAAATCACAACTCATTACTAGGGCAAAGAGCTCAAATAAACGGCTCATAGAAAGATGTCATATGCTTGGCAACACCAGGAGAAACACTACTGACGTAAACGTAGACTCTCACAAAACCATATGGACCCTTGTTGGCTACCTGCTATCTTGTGTTTTAAAGGGAAGGTTCACCTCACAGGGCTGATTACATATGAATATCATTACTCCATACTTATGCAGACAAAGGTTTAACCTTAGATTTAGTCAATTGACATACAGAGTGTAGTTGCCTCTTGCATTTCATACAGATTACTACACAAATGAATAGCAAAATGTATCATTCATTTAATATATTCGAGTTACTGATATCATAATGAGAAAAACATGCTTTTTGTTTACCTTACTCACTTATTAGCATAGTTACAGTATTTCTTAAGGAATGAAGAGGCTGTCAGTAGTCTTTTCATAATTCAGTCAACTAACTCTTCCAAATTAGCCATAGTGAAAGCTGAGCTGAGCCGTTTTCTTGAAAATGTGACATGGAAATTTTAAAAACCTTTGAAATTGAGAATGATTTTGTTTAATAAGATGAAGAAGGTAATCTTCATGGGCTCAGTAAAACTCTGGTACATTGGCATCCATAAATTTTCAGAAATGAGGCAAAAACGAGGTATTCCGATCGCCAATTTAACACCAAATTTGCAAATTTCATAGTTTTTAGTTTAGATTTGTCCCAGATGACTTCATTACACAGTGATACCATAGACCATGCCTGCCTCTCATGAACGAACATTCCCTTTAAAAATACGCAAGACCAGATCAACATGTACATTTATTCATTAAACAGTATTCTTTTATCTAACTGCAATCCTATCATTGGCATTCAATCATTTTGGTCCACCATTCTGATGTCAATATCAAATTATTTTTCATTACAAAATAGATAATTTACTATCTTTCCTCTTCCAAAAATAAATCATTAAAGGCTCGTTCACATATGATGTGGAGAACTGCTGCAAATAAGCCACACAAATTTTTTTCAAAACGTGTAAATAAATAGCAACTGTGTGCAATTAAGGTCCTGCGCGCCTTCACTGAGGTCTGTGTTATAAGAAACAGCAATGTGAAGGCCAGGGTATTACGCTTTATGCCATCATTATACCAAAAAAATGCTGCAGTTTGACAGCACCATATCTGAACGAGCTGATACAAAAGAACAAACAATACAAGCAAAGAGCAAACTATCATTCTTTTAGGAAAATGTAAAATACGACCCTCACACAGAGAACGACCAAACTTATCCATTTCAATCCAGCACTTTCAGTCAGCAACCTCTTCACGTTGCATCTTCAATTGAACCCCTTATGATGGTCTGATATTTTTTACTTTTATTATTTTTTTAGTTGAGATTCAGCAATCAGAAAATATAAGATGAAAATTTCAACCGTGTCTAGGGTTAATTCATACTCTAAATAGCTCTCCTCATAATACTATTTCATTTGAATGGTTTGGTTTATACATAATCACATTTTCAATTCTGTTAACCTTCGTAATTCTCAAATTCACCTTAAACTTCAGTACCATCAATAAAATACTGGAGTATCCATTATTTTTTCAGAAATATATATGCATTTCTCACTACATTTGTATTTTCATATATTCAACTTAGGAGATAAAATGCAGCTTTGGTGACATACGACAATCTAAGAGAGAAAATAACTTGGTTTATTTTGTAAGATTTTGATAAATTTGAATCTTAATCGGGAGCGCCAGGAGTGTCAAGTCTGACAGACATGAGCGCTATACAAGAACCCACTATTGTTATTATTATTATTAAAAAATGAACAATACAAAGCCTTCACTATATGAAATTTCACTGACTTTTGATCTATAAATGGCATTTGCTTCAATCACTCTATTTGTCAAATTTTCTTTCTCGTTGATTCTTTATTCTTTACATTAAGGCAATGGTTGTGATCTCTTTAGGGTACAAAGATCTGGAAAAAAGGGAAGAAGAAAAAAAAAAAGTAACAAAATAATAAATATTTGTGACCACTATCCTATTTTCAGTATATACATCTGCATATCTCATTACATACAAAATATTTGCTTCCAGGATTAAAAATATTGATTGCTTTCGACTTTCGAGATAGAAAAATGATATCTAATCTTAGGAAAGAGATATACAATGCACCATGCTTTCTTTAATGTGTTAAGGTCAGTCAGTGCTTATAGTATAGTCCGATACCAGAAAAAAGAATTTCACAGTCACTTCAAAAGAGAAGTTCAAACTCAAGTTAAAGGCAACTGTTTTCTAGCAAAAAGAGTGTGCACTTATTACGAAAGGAAACCCTACGTCCCTTTCTATAGAAGAATCACTGAGAAGTTAAAAATCAGTGATACAACAATTCACTGAAGTTTCAAAACCTGAGATTTCATGATAGTCTTATTTAACAAACCCTTTACACAAATACACCTATCTAGAGATAATGACCGTTCAACCACCACTTGTTCTAGACAACAATATCAAAGAAAAGATAAGACAATACTGACAAAAAAATTCTCTCCTATCCATACAGTCTCAGAGACAGAGACCCATATATTAATTTAAAAACTTCCACTTAAATAGTGGTATCTACAGCTCTAAATCGTTAACATGCATATTTTCATATAAATACAAATCTCTTTTTTCTTTCTTACAATATCATTTAAAAACCATATATCTATCATCATAATTCAGATCATTCTTTGTATCACACTGGACTCTCTCGCTATATCCTACACGTGACTATTTGTTCTCGAAGGCCCGTCATTTTTAATGATGTTGTCAAGCAAATCTAACATGTCGGTGCTGCCTGATTGTTGTTGTTGTTGTTGTTGCTGCTGCTGTTGCTGCTGTTGCTGTTGGTTGTTGCTTTCTGGCATCATGGCCATTTGCATTTGCTGTGCATTGTTGCCGAATGTCTGGTTTGTTGCGCTCACAGCAGAACCGTTCTGCATGGCTGCTGCAATGGAGTTACCTTGAACAGGCTGTTGCATAGTGCCCTGCTGTTGTTGCTGTTGTTGATGTTGTTGATGCTGCTGTTGCTGCTGTTGTGTCGGTTGCTGAGCTTGCTGTTGCTGGGACTGTGTTGGCTGACCTACAAATTGCTGCTGCGTCATAATGGAAGGGTTTGTATTCGTAGCATTGCTCATACCACCTTGAGAGGTGATATTCTGGAAAGTTCTCATGTTGGAGCCAGAGTCCATGACGTTTCTTTGAGGGAAGCGCGATTGCGTCGGGTACGACTGCTGCATCATGTTGTTACCTTGGAAGTTGTTTGTCTGCTGTTGCATCCGATGCTGCAAGAGCTGGTTTGTCGTCCACTGGCCAGGCAGGTGCCTTTGCTGCTGGTACTGAGCCACCCCTGCCTGACCCATGTTGACGGCACCAGGAGGAACAGATCCCATGTTCATCTGGTTACCCATGGCTGCAGTTTGCTGCATGCTACGCATATTCTGCTGCTGCATGATCTGACGTCGGATCTGTGGGGTAAGACGATGCATCATCCCCTGTTGCTGCGGTTGCTGCTGGGTCATCCCCTGCATCATACCGGAATGGGTAGCGAGGTTACCTCCGCTTGCAGCCATGCCGTTGTTCGGGTGGGCTTGCACACTCTGGCCAGGCGCGATTGAGCGAATGTTTGGTTGTCCTGCCATGTGTGTCATCATAGCTCCTTGCTGACCAAGCTGTTGTGGCATTCCTTGGTTGACAGGACCTTGGAATGCCATGGAGTTGCGGTGCGGTGTCTCGTCATAACGAGGCGGAGGACGTCTAGGAATAAGCATCTGGTTGTTGCCCTGCTGCTGCATGCTATGACTCTGCTGCGATGGCTGGACATACGAGTTGGCCACAAACTTTCTTTGCTCTGCATTGGCATTATAATGGGGTGGATTCTGCAACCTCTGGAGAATTTCAGGGCTAGCCATACGCTGTTGCTGCTGAGGACGCTGTACAAACTGGGAGGCCTGCCCGGGCATCATGGTCCCTGCTTGGCCACTGGACAGGGCCATGGTCGGACTACGGTCCTGGATAAAGGATTGTAACATACTTGGGAGTCTCCCGGTAGACTGACCTTGACCTCGCATAGAGTTATTTGCAAATTGCGTAAGTTGGTCTGCACTTGACATGGAAGCGTTCATATTAGTAGTGAGCCTTGGATTGGGCATCCTTGAATGTTGGCTCTGTTGGTTGTTGGCCATGCGGGGATTCGGCATAAACTGCCTGCTACTCAATTGCTGCTGCTGCTGCTGAGCAGTCAAGAAACTTCCCTGCTGCCCCGATACACCACTTTGTTGGCCCACAAATGACCCTCTCATTGAGGGATTCATCGCTGATGCTGCTGATGTAGCAGTGGCCTGCATTGAAGTTAGCTGGTTTACCTTGGGTACAATGTTCTGGGCACCAGTACTTACAGCTGTCTGCACATTGAGTCTGTGAGCCTGTGAGGCGTGGATTTGCTGGGGTTCTTGTTTGATCAAAACATTCTTTCCTGTAGGTTTAAATTCATGTATACTAGGCAAAGGCCCACCTTTTGGCAAAGCTTCAGTAGCTACAGTATTTGGAGGCCCCTCCATCATGGGGTCATATGAGTCTGAATTCTCACTTTTGGGGACCACTCCAGATTCTGCATTTTTGGAAGCGGCGTCAGGTTTCATATCACCTTGTTTATTTGGGTCCTGACTCCTAGGTGAATTAGTGGCTACGTCGGGCATTTCTCCAAGTTGCATACTCAAATTATTTTCCAGCCTGGCCAGCTCAGTCAAAAGATTTTCAGGGTTAAACTGACCGGATTTCATCATCTCTTCCAACTGTGTTCCATTGGGATCATCCAATAAACGCATGAAATCATCCTCGTTGCCGATATCGTTGAGCAAGTCAAGCCCCTCGACGCCATCTGCTACAGACGCGCCCTCGGGCATCTGGTTGTTGACGCCATTGTCAGTAGGCTGTGCCTGGTGGTTGGCTCCCATCCTGTTGAGATCTTGTTGCTGGACGTACTGGTTCGGTGTGGGCACCTGTCCTGGTAGCTGCTGCTGCTTGCTGTCCATACATGGCTTCTTAGCTGGTGATGCATCTCCTCTAACACCACTGCTTGAACTGCTTGCCTCTAGACTCAGGGCACTGGTTCGGTTGATCGCCTCCGTTGTCCCCGTCCGATTGGGAGAATCGGGATTGGGTCGTTTCCGATCCACCGCCTTTTTCTGAAATAGATTGAAAATATGAGAACAGTATTAAGAAATTGTGGCTACTGTAGATTGAGAAATAGTGAATGCTTTAAGGGACCTAATGTAAATAGTGTTCAATGTATCACATGAACACCGGGAATAGTATTCATTATTTTGTTCATTAGAGCCATTTTGGTTTTATCATCATAAAAGTGAGATTTTTATCAAAGTAATTTCCATATACGTTCTTTATATATTCTGCTGTTACTACCGTATTATGCAGCTTTCCCAGATCTAGGCCCCCCAAAAAGAAAATACCCTAAGCTTGCCCAAAGGATTAATGGTGGTCTCTACGCCTCCCTTCATCAGCTTGAGTTTGCCAAATAACTCGCTATTTTCAGACTCGGGACATTATCCCCAAGCTCGAAAATTGCATCCTCACCAGACCGATGCGCTCATCACAAACTCGCTCGGACGGGCGCAAATTAGCCCGCTATTTCCCAAATAACAGGATATTTTTTAAACAAAACTGCAACTGCGGGCTGATGGAGACGCAAATTTACTGGCTTATCAGCATTGGGATAGTTAAAATAGCGGGTTATTTGGCAAACTCGAGCTGATGAAGACAAGCCTGATGGCATCCTGGCGAAGGCTAATTTTGTGCCCTGGCACTTGGTGTTAAAGAGCTCCCTCTAACAAGCATTTACCCAGTTTTTGAAGAAGTCAAGTCATTTCCTGTTATGAACAGTACAAGTTACTTCCTTTGAAAGAAAACCAAGGGGAAAAAAATGGAAGAAAGAAACTTTGTGTCGTTCGCAGACTGGTCATATGACAAGGATTTTTCTACTAAGTACTCTGCACAGCAAAATGGCCTATTGTAGATTCTGGAAGAAACAATCTGTGCCCTTGCACTGTTTTTAAAATGAAAGTTGTGACTAATATCATAGCTACTTAATGTTTTAAGCTTTCTTAAGTGGTCATCTAAGTTGTTACAGAACTTGTACAAACGCCAATTTCACAAGATGAAATTTAAGAGAAAGAGAGAGAGAGAGAAAGAGAGAGAGAGAAGGAGAGAGAAAGAGAAAGAGAGAGAGAGAACAGATGCAGAGCTTAAAGTCATTTACTTGCCAATCTAGAACACTACAAGATGTAATTCCCATAAGCTCATTAGTTGATCTGTGCATGCATGGAATTGGCTTCAAATTTACATTTTCCGTAAAACAGTAAAGTATCACCTTTAAAACAAAATTATGATCACCTTTTGAATTTGAAATAAGCCTACAAAAAAATAACAACACGAACAGATACTTGTATCCTATGGGGCGAATGGACGATTGTTACTACTTTGTATGCGAACGTAATATTTTTTCTGTTACAAACTTGGAATCAAGTTCATAGAGAAGCCATGACCCTAAATTAAACCTAACTCCATAAACAACCCGTAAACCGTGTATTACATGATTATAAACGTAACAAGGTTAGTACAGGACCACTGGTTGGTAGGATCATTAGGGTCTATAGGACTATTACATCTAGAACAAAGAGGGGGTAGGACTAATAGTGTCACTGTTTAGGAGCAACAGGGTGTAATAAGAACAAATAAAGGTGAGGCCTCCATGAAAACTCATTATAATTGTAGGAAATAACGATTAGCAATGTTTAGTGAATTAACAAGATACATGACAACCAGAAACATGCAGAAGAAATTTCCATAGCAACGATTTATGGAATTTGAAAACAATTGTAAATATGGATTGCACAATTTATTGCATTGTCATTTTGAAAGATCACATAAACTTGTGCAGGATACAGAACTTCAAGTACCGACAAGTTTTTCTACAAATCATGATGTATTAATTACAATTCAAGATTGGTAATGAATGTAGCAGATTGTCCTCTTCAAAAATGGCAATACTGACATTCCTTGGTTGGTTCAACAATCATGTAAGCCTAGAAATGTATGAATTACCCTACTTTAGCAATTTGAATGAAATATTACTGACACATTTTTATGAAGTTGTAAATATGTTGCCAATTCATTACCAATGTCTTTATGAAATCATTAGGGCATTAATGAGGGTACACCATGAATTATATAGTATGTTAAAGGTGTCAGTGGTGTTGTCTTACTGTTACAAGTTGACAACAGACATATGAAAATGTAAATGAGAACATATAGTACCGTTACTTTTTTTGCTATTTGTTGTGTCATTATATTTTTCTGTAGATATTGAAAATAATGTGTCACCTTAATTTCCCTCTTGTAAATACAGGTGTACATGAAAATGAAGAAGAACTGAAACAACAAACTTACATTGGTGATACATGTAACCTACATGTAAACATGTAGCTCATGTATTGACAAAATATATTACTCAACTTCCTTTTCTTCCAAGATATGGCAAATTTTTAGGGTTATAAGGATTTATAACTATAATTTTCATTATTCTGGAACCCATGGCACATAATCCTCCAAAAGAGGGGTGTTTTTGGCAAACATTGACAAACATTATCAAATCTAAGTAATAAAAACACCAACAAATCTGAAACAGCACAGTAAAGTACACACACAGTGTAGTTCTTGCCTGTGTACTAACTACTGCTGGCAGGGAAGTACATTGAAACTACATTGCAACCTCCCCGCTGCATACAAACATGTAAGGCATAGAGCGAACTCTCCATGTACACAAAACCAAGCTGTGGAGCTCACACACATGTAGGATGAGTTTCAACTCACAGACAATAAACTTTGTAGGGTCAGGCTAATTTATGAATACGCATGACCATGAACTACTATGTAGGGCGAGCAATACAGTGTGTGTATGTTCACTCCACTTCTCTCTCTCCCTATCTCTCTCTTTCTATCTATCTCTTTTCTCTTCCTCTTGATAAATCCCTTAATTTAACAATTTTCCCTTGCTTTTCCATGCCATTTCCCTGTTTCTGTAACTAGTTATTTAGTCTTTCATTTGTCTTGGTCTTGTTAGTTTACAGAGACCATTCTCTAGAGGTCAAAGAACACATCAGCTACTTAACTGATTTTCTTCATCAGTCAAGTATATTCTTCTTCTTCTTTTTTAGCACATGAAATGTTTAGCCTTCGAGCCAAGTTCTTCATCAAGTCTTTAGAGGATCAGCTACAATTTACACGAAGATCCACCACTTAGCCAGGAAAACTGAAGCCCTAGTAAGAAATTATTATTTTTAATTGTGCTCCTTTCTACAGGTATAGATCTGCATTCTACATTCATGCAAAACAAAGTAAGATATGAACTTCTTTTGCTTTCTTTAATGTGCCTGTTGTCAACATTTAGATGTACATACATGTATATATACATGTATATAGATATATAATTATATATATGTAGGCCTTTTGATTTGATGGTACTCCCATTATCAAATAAATGCAACATCTTTATTCTCCCTCTCCCTCCCTCCCTGTGATTTTATCTCTTTCTCTCTCTCCCTCCCCGTCTAGAAAGGTTGCCTGCCCCTTGAGATTAAGACGACTTAAAACCAAGCAGAAATAAAAACAGCAACAATACTAAATAAATGGCAATAATCAGAGAAATTAATTATGTACCCAGACAAGTTAATGTAGAAAGGGTAATATAGTGAAAACACCTAACAGTCATGTGACTGAATTTTAATTAACTAAGGAGAAATAACTACAATCATCAGTTTAGCTTTTCTCAATGACAACCGATTATAAAAGCATTTGGACTTCCCCTAAAGCCCCCCCCCCCCTTCCCAAGTGAAACTGTTGTCTTGTTCCTTGTTCTAACTCCCTCCCTTCCCCTACAAATTTCCTCATGACCGACAGAGATACTGTCGACGTGCTACGAAGGCCTACATACACTACACCCTACAAGATTGGCTTGCAAGAGCGGTCAGGGTCGTTTGGTGAAGGCGTCACATCACAATCCTTGCCATATATCTATACCTTCTTCAAATTTGGACTCGTTCGTCAGGGTAGGGAAGACCTTCCTCACAGGCCGATAAGGGATAATGATGGTCTTCTGCCAAACCAGGCATGGTGGTCTTGACATGTCATCCAGGCCTATTGTTTCATGATCCCTGTCACTAAATTGAGTATTCTGGCAAATACATGTATACCAATACCAGAACAATACTGATCACAGTTTAAGCCCTATACGTTTATAAACACGAGAGTTGGAATATATGAAGGCCTATATAATTGGGAACATGTATCTGGGTTCCATCCTAATGCTCAAGTTACAGATGTCGTAACAATCAAGTAAATAAAGGCCCACGTGTCAAGCCACATCAAACTCAATTTCCTAAAACGCTAACTAAATTATACAAAAGTGAGCTATTGATTTTGCAAAATCATGTCGATTACAAATTATGTCTGAGCTAATGATTACATAATTAAAAGGTGACTAACAAAATTGGCATGCTAATGTACATGTACGGTACATGTACATATATACATTGTATATATACCCACAAAGGTCGTGTTTATATTTCAATATTTGGAGGCAATGTCTTGGCTTCCAGGATAGAATGAATTGAAAGAGCTCCCTCTCTGTTAAGGAGCAGCAAAACTGTGTTGCTAGTGCTACAAAGTACAAACAAAATCAAATACATGGACAATATGGACAATATCTTTTAAGTTTCTGATTAAAACCAATTTCTAAATCGGAAAACAAGATGGCACCCATATGCATGCGTTGCCAATTTCTGTAATATGCCAATTTCTGTAATATGCCCTTTTAATACCAAGACAGTTTGATAGGCCTACTGTGCAACAGCCACAGGACAAATGTCATCATGAAACGCCTTCCCAAATAATGTTTTGTTTGTGTGTAAAACTGTAACATGCATGATATCTACAATCTCCCAAAATACATGATTGAGGTTGCATCATAATGCAAACACATGGGACTATCTATCAACCCCAAAGTAGACGCAATACTGTCAATTTTACACTGACCTTGAAAGAACATTGTGCAATCTGCTATTCAGTGCCAAATAATGTAAATATATCTTAGTAGAAAATGCTAGAATGTGAG